TAAAATTATATAAAATTAGAGAACATAATTAATTAATTTTATATAATTATTTTTAATTTATATAATTAATTTTATGTTTAGAGATATGCTGTAGAATCTCTTGCTAGAATGTATACAATTTTAGCGCGAATTAAAAAAGATCGAGAAAAAATAAGAATATTTTGTTGCGATGCTTTGTATTGTTTGGGACTTAATGCGATAATTATTTTATATACGGTATTCACTTGTTGGCCAGAAGTATTTCGACAGAATAACGACGTAAATACTGGTGCGTATAACTTTCTAAATAATTTTAGAATTAAATTTTTTATACGATATTTTAATCTGTTATTAGAATTATTGCCAAAATGTATGGCACATCTAATCTTGATACAACAAGGTAAAGATTTTCCTAAACTCAATGCCTTAAAAAACTTGGTATCAGTATTTTATAAATATCAAATGACGTTATCTCAAGATCTACTCAAAGAACTTCTAACGGCATTTCAAAGTGAGTAACAATTACAATATTTTTAATTTATCATTTAAATAACTACTTGATTTGTAGAAAAGTGTTATGGTGAAGTAGAAACCGCAATTATACTCCTTGCAAAAAGAGAAGGAACTGCATGGACGTACAAGCATATTATTAAGGGTGCATTGTTATCAATGATAATTAATAATAAATTTCCCAGTACTTATCGAGCATTTTGTTTACTAGGTAAGTATTCTATATCAAATTTAACAATTTTATTAATTTAATTAATTGTAATTCAATATTTAAGTTATAATTTTTATTATAAAATTTATAATTACAGGCAATCTCATGCGTGTATTTCCAATAGAAGATAAAGATAATTCAGTTGGTGAAATTATAGAACAGTTGTGTGATTTAATTAATTCTGGTGAAGGTATATTTTTATTATATATTTTATTTATGTTTAAAATATAATATTAAATTGTTATTTATTTAATTAGGATCGGATGACCAAAAAGAAGGGGTTGTATCGGCATTATTAAGCTTGGTGAGACATAAATTTGAAGAAGTGACGCGGAATATCTTAAAATGGAATTCATTTGTACCATTGCATGATCGAACGATAGAACAGATCAAAGGATTATTTAATATGCGTGATATAGACTTCTGGAAGTCTTATTTAAAAAAAAACAAATTATTAATGAATTCTTAGAAAATGAAAAAATTTAAAGTATAGTTTTTTAATGAATAATGGAAATCGTGTGATATTCATTGTAAGATAATTTATATTAATTAAAATTTTGTTTTTTTTGTTATTTTTCAATATGTTAAAAATTTTTCTTTAATATTTATATTATGTTAATTTTGAATATCTTTGGATTTTTGTTCGTTAATCAAAAGTTAACATTAATCGTGGCAATAATCATTAATTTTCTCCTATTTTTTTCTAATTTTTTTTTTTACAATCTAAAAATAATGCAAAAACAATCTTTTTCTTGTTATTTCTATTTATTTAATTTAAATTTTATCATAACAAACTGACTTTAATTTTAATATGTAGTTCCTTCCTTTCTATTTTCTAAAGTGTACAGTACACCATATGCGTAATTTTTTTTTAAATTAAAACATTATTGTATTATGTATGTATATATTACAAATGTTAAATAGAAGAGCATTAGGCTCAAATTAATAAGATAATTTTGATAAACCAAAGAAGCAATTTCATAATAAATGAAATAAACATTTCCGCAATATCACTTGTGAAGCGTTTCATCTATATTTAAGCTTTTATGTAAATGTTTTTATTTTGAATTCTTCAAAAAAAAAAAATTAGAAACAAAAAGAAAAGATCGTTTTGTTATATCATAAAATAAAAGATTGATTTTCTATGTTTTATCTTTTGAATAATAGTTTCCTTACATCCTTTAAATAAAAATTTTAAATAGAATAAATTTCATTTATATAACATTAATATAATATCGTATTTTTTAAACAAAGAAGATGTAATAATAAATAGAAAATAAAATGAAATGAAATATTTATTTCGAATATTTATAAAATAACAGACTATCAAACATATCAATTTAGAATTTATTTATGTATATTAAGTAATGATTTATATAGCTTATAGATTTCTTATCCACAATTATTTCTTTGATGAAATTTTAAACTTTTTAAAAGATTCATTTCATCAATTTTAAGTGAATTCAAATATAAATTTTTGTTATTTTAACTCGTACGATGATAGCTAATTTTCATCATTTAAATATATTGCATTGGAAGAATGCGATCAACATTAAACTACTTACTTTCCACGAAAACTCTTTAAATTCGAAAATTGCATAGTGTCACTTAAGATTAAATTTTTTTGAATAATTTATCATTAATATACTAATTTAAACACGAATTTAAATATACTTTTTGACGTGCACAAATTACTAATTCGTAGCGATCGAATCTACGGTACCGGAAGTAATATGCAGTTAAATTTCAAAAATAATCTTTAAATATATATTATGTTTTCTTCGATGAAACTTTCAACTATGTTATATTTTAACGTCTCTTTTTTTTTTCTTTCAATTCTTTTTTATTTATATCTTTTAATATATAATAAATGTTTTAAAGTTTTATAAAACTATATTTAGATACTTATTTTCCTCACGTATTGTCATCTAATCGTAAGGGAAAGGAACGCGGAAAACAGTGGCGCAGCCTATGGGACATCGATCAAGAATGGCGGGAAAGTATTCAAAAAGGATGATAAGAGCAACATGAACATACTTATGATTTCGCTTAATTTATACTATTTAACCATTTCGGGAAACAAGATTACAAGTTTTTATTCCTCTTTCAATATAATAATAATCATAATAATAATAGATAATAATAAAAATAGATAATAATAGCAATAATAATAATAGAAATAATAATAATAATAATAATAATAGAAATAATAGCAATAATAATAATAATAATAATAATAATAGTAATAATCAACATATCGTAAGCTTCCATACGCAGAACACGCTAAGATAATACATGTACATGGTTTCTTTACAAAAATAATAACAATGTTTCGATGCAACATTGCGGATCCAGTGATCAATCTTTCTAGCTAAATGACACTTTAGCAACATTTTTATTTTTTTTATTTTTTATTTTTTTTTTTTTTCCTTTGGATAGACAACTCTCATGTATTAATCCCCTTTATATCATTTCGTTCATCATTCTCATCGTTCGAAATTTTTTTTTTTTTTTCCTTCTTTTTTATAAAGAGGACACACGCACACGCGTTTCCGCGTACGGGCCACACCTTATCTCCTGCCAATTTTTCTCCCTTTCTCCCTTCCCCTCTCTATCTCTCTATTCTCTTTCCTCCTATTCATCTTTATAAATAAACTACCTTTATTTTGTCAGTTAATCGACATTGTCTTTGGTACATTTACAACGAACAGCATTATATCGCGACAGAAAGTACGGATTTGGTATGTCGGACGGGGTACCTACCATCCGCCGTCATATAAAAAAGCGCACGCAATTCACGAAAAAAAAAAAAAAAAAAAGGAATTAATAATGAAATCGAATTTCACTTGGAGATCTTTCGCGCTGTCCTCGGAGCGCGAAGATTTCCGTCCGGAAATTAAAACAAAAAGAAGAAACTAGGGAAAAAAAAAAAAACGGAAAGAAAAAAAGAAAGGAAAAACAGAAAATTAAGAAGAAAAGCGAGACAAGCGCAAACAAAAGAAAAAAAATAACAAAGGTAAGAAGAGAATTGTTAAACGGGTTACAGCGGCCAAGAAGCGAAGAGACAGCCAAATTGTCGATCGGAACAATCGTCCTTCCCACTGAGAATTTCGCGATTCCAGTGTTACTCGAGATCGATTCCGATCGACCCGGCCAATGAAAATCTCAAACTAACTCCCGGGAGGATCTCTCTTCTAGGACGAGACCTCGGGGCCGTTGATGACCCGAAACGGAAATGGAAATTTCTTCCGAGATGTTTTTCTTTCTCTTTTTCTCTTTCTCTTTCTCTTTTGTTTTCTTTTTTTTTTCCCCCTCTCGACCGAATACAACGTATCCTTCTCGCGTCTGCTTTTTTCCTTCCTTCCCCCCACCCTTCCCACCCTCCCTCCCTCCCTTTTTCCCACTCTTCGTCTTGATCTTCGCGATACACGGCCACGGCGCTGTCTGATGTACTAAAATGCCACCACTGTCTACGCTTAAACGGTCGCTAATAAAGTAACCAGGCCCGAGTCATCGCTCTCCTTTTTTTCGTTTTCTTTCCTTCGTCTTCATTTTTTAACCTCTATTGACAAGATCGAAAATTGAGAGAAATCAAAAAATCAAAAAAAAAAAAAAAACCTCGATCGATCGATTGCATTTAAATTAAGAGAATTAAATTTAATAGAAAAANAAAAAAAGAGAAAAAAAAATAATACGAAGACGATCGGATGATTGTCGCGGAGCAATCACTCGGACGTGACTGAGTGATTTTTAGTTTTTAGTAAGAAGCTGAGACACTCGTAATCTACCTATGAACTTATTTTTTCTCGACGATCGTAACATTTTTAAGAAGATTCCCTCCCATTGTTCGACAATCGGCCAATTCGTTGGAAGCAGATTCGAGTAATAGCTCGTGTTGTCGTCTCGATACGATCAAAATCGCAATTGATTAAAGAGGAACAGTTAACGATCGTTCAAAAGCAATTACTCGAATTTCATTCTCGAATTATTACACGTTTCGCGCGGAATTAAATTGCATTTGTCTCTGTCGATTGTAGAGAGAGAAAAAAAAAAAATGACTTCTTCTAAATTGAAGAACAAATACGCAGGAACCTTCTTCGTCGTATCTCGCGCGATTTTTTCACAGGTAAACTCGCGTCGAAAATTGCGTGCTTTTCTTCGTTTTTTCTTTTTTTTTTTTTTTTTTATTTTAAATATAATATATATATATATATATTTAGATTTATATATACTATATCGTTCTTTCTTTTCTTTTTTCTTCCTCTTTTGTTCGTTCGTTCGTTCGTTTTCTTTTTTTTTCTTTTTATAAATAATAATAATAAGTGCGTGTCCTTAAAAGATAACCGTGTTAATCAAATAATAACGCGAATAGCGATTAAGGAATAAACTGATTAATCCGTGATCCGATGATAATAATAAAAGGAGAATAATTAAATGATCGTAACTTAATGAATCGTAAATTAGCAAGTTAATGATAATAATAACCGTGACAATTAATTAAAGGGGGACATAGAATAATAATAATAATAGTAGTTGTAGTAATAATAATAATAATAGTAATAGTAATAATAAATGTAAGAATAAATTAGGAACCAAGTACAAAGTTACGAGAGAAGTAAGATTGGGGGGATAATTAAATTAAGAGTTTTTTTCCTTCTTTTTTTTTTTCACGCTACGATTTCTTCACGTTAATTAGGACTATTTATAATAAATTACACCGTACGAATTACGAGGACGGCCTCGTAAAACCGTGAGAAAATAATAATAATAATTATTAATAATAATAATAATAATAAAAATAAAATAAAATACACTTTAGGCCACCTAGCTTCACGCGTTTCCCGTCTCGGATTCTGCCTTTTTTTTTTTTATTTTTTTTTATTTATTTTTTTTTTTCTCTAAATTCTACGTATTTATCGTAATTATCGATTATACACTCTCTTCGTAGCGCTTTTCTCGTTTCCTCCGTTCGTTCGATTGCCTTCCTCGATATAGAAAAACCTCGATCGGGAACGAAAGAGAGAAACGCGGGAGACGAAAGAAACCGGGAGGCTTTGTCGGGTCACGATCTCGCGCGGCACACGTTACGGTTTACGTCACGTTTTTACACACGAAGAAAAAAAAAAAAAAAAAAAAAAAGAAGAAGAAGTACATTGGACGACGATTTCACCTTTCTTCCGTTATCTTCAAAGCGTTTGGAAGCTTGTTCACTCAACAACCACGGCACAGTGTATCTACAAATGTACAAATAAGCATCGAATATCAGGACCGATCATCCCAATCGATAATATCGTTGCTTCCCCCAGAATCTCTCGAGATGGCGTTACGGATGGCATTTTCGATTCCTCAATACCTCTCGAGTTACGAAGGAAAAGTTTCCTCGTAATAATATCGTTCGTAAGTAATATTCTTCTCGAAGAGGAGAGGCACGCAACGCCACAACGACGAATCTCCGTCAGACTCGTCTCCCGATGAAATATTTATTCGTCAATGGTCACCACGAAGGAGGAATTGGAAACCCGGTTAGCGTCGTCATAATTGTAGTTTGTCCGCTACAATGGCCCAATCGCTCGTTTTAAATAAATTTGACACCGGGGACGAGTCGGCTGGCCTTTGTACATATATACATATACATATACATATGCATCTACACATATATGTATACATATATATATATTATCCAGGATAATTTACTATTTACAAGAGGAGAGGCAAGAAACAGAGATACGTTTCACGTGGCATCGAGACGCTCTCGTGATTTTTTTGTTCGTCTCGTTCGAAGAATACAAAGATATCCATCCACGCCATCTCGATTCGTGCAATTATTAGGATTCGATCGATCCTTCTTTCTTTCTACACCGAGGCTTAGCTCCTTTCTTGCTAGGTTTGAACACGCCACCGCGCAGAGACCTCGAGTCCCTTTTCCATCTATTTCACACGCCAATTTAAATTAAGTTATACAGTTGTGCGGACGAAAATAATACATGTATATATATATATACTTAAATTAAATTTTCAAATAAATAATTACGTACGTGTTGAACGAACATTTTACAGTGAGAAAAACATTTTCGAGTTTGTTTTTTTTTTCTTGTCCCGATCACGCGGATCAACGTCGAATTGTCGCTGTGCTCGATATATATATATATACATACATATATCGTTTCATCTAACGAAAAACGAACGATACAAAAGTCACGATTTTTCATCTTTTTAATCTCTTCTCGTCTTGGACGAGGAATATATAATACGCTCAACGTAATTTGCATTAAGTTAAATACGATATAAGTGACTCGTTCTATTTTCCATGTTTCGATGGAAGAGATTTAACTTTGTGGGAAACTTGTATATATATATATGTGTGTGTGTATATGTTGAATTGGGAACTCGGATCAATCTCGGCGTGGTTGGTACGAAATACGAGGGGTTCTAATGTGAAAAAGAAACGAACGAAATCGGACGAAACAGAAAATAGGGCATGGGAGGGAAAAAAAGAAGAAAATGAAAAGGAAAAAAAAAAAAAAAATAGTAAAAAGCAAAAGTGAAAAACTCCTTCCCCTCTCCTCCCCCTCCCAATGCCAGAGAGGAAAGCTTATTTCCGCGCGTTTCCTCGGTCGAAAGATCGAGGAAAAAGAAAAAAAGAAGAATGTTTCTACGAGAACGTGGCAACGTTTCTACTTAGAAAAAAATGGATTATTTTTCGTTCGAAACTTAACTCGATACGTTATTATCTTAAACCGACAACTAATATAACGTTACGTAATTATTCTCCGGTTATTATTGTCTGTTCTAAACTATATATCTCGTATCTCCGATAGGAACAAATTATTTTATATCTTCTTCTCCTTCTTACGTTCGCGCTAAATGTTTCTTTACTCTCTCTCTCTCTCTCCCTCCCTCCCTCTTCACACCTCTTTCTTTTTTCCCCTTTCTATTAAGAGAGTCACCTATTCAGTGGTTAGAGGCTTTATTTTTAAGCTTCCCTTCTTTTCTACTTTCTTGTCCTTTGTTCTTCCAGCTGTTCAGGTCCAGCTATTTAAAGTTACCAGCTACGTACTTCTTTTTCTCAGTTAATCCTACGCTCTTCTAGATCTATCTTGCCCCTGATCATCGATCCCGAGGATCCCGATCCACGTATCGATTTATACAGCGAGTACGACGAGATCGTTTCTTTTTTTTTCTTTTTTTTTTTTTTTTTTTTTTTTTTTTCTTTAATATAGCCTTCTCTAATTGTGAACGAACACGAGGAGGAGGAGGAGGCTCCTCTTCTTCTTCCTCTTCCTATTCCTCTTCTTCTCTTTCTCTCTCCTCTTCTTCTTTCTTTCTTTTTCTTTTCCTTCTCTCGGCAGAAACGGATAAATTCATGCGGGAAAATGAAACGTCGACGTGACAAAGGCTCGTGTAAATAAGAAAGAAAAAAATTCGCGGAGCGGAAGAATGTCGTTGTCGGTTGGTCGCGTTCACAACGGATTTTTTCCTCCCTTCCTCTGCCTGTATTTCCTCTCTAATGCTCGCCTAATAATCGCGAGAACGTAGTCCATGGACGGAGACAGATAGCAGAGGTTGAAGGTGAAGAAAGCGATTTCTTTTCCCTTCCGTCGACGACGTCGGTTTCGGTGATCTCCACCATCGAGGTGGACTGGGATTATCAGGATCCTTTATCATTGATTGGAACGCTTCCCTTCGCTGATCGACGCCATTCTCATTGACTCCGCTTCCGGGCAGTTCCATCCGGGCATTCTCGTTTGCTCTATAGCCGCCTGTGGATAGAAGAAATTTATCATTATTATGAAACAATAAATACTACTTCCATTTCCCTAACTTCTCATAACATAATAATATTTAAGGTTAACAAGGTTTATATATTATATATTATATATTATATAGGTTTATATATTATATATAATATTTGTACAGATGCACAAAGATCTGTGGTCACTGTGCCGCTTCCCACAGACTTTTCTAAAAATTTATTTACAATGGCCAAGGTGAGAGAGAATTTCAGAAAAGAAAGATCTTGTTACCATCAGATTAAGAGGGATCGTCTTCCCCTTATTTATATACATTGATTGTTTTATATAAATAAAGATTAGAAAGTTAGAGATTATTGGGTACTTTGAGTGACACGGCCATTATTATCAGGGAATCGTGTTCAAAGTACATTTACGCGTGTACAAGTGATTCTTCAGATTAAAATTAATTTTCAAATTAAAATTCGATATAAGTGAATTTACCGAGCTATTGGGATTCTTGGTCATGAAGATCATGAGGGAGCGGCTACGGTTGCTAAACGGCCTCAACTCCGGATCTCGGCCAGGACCATCCACCGTGTCGACGCAGTTACTGTTGGCATAGAAATAACGTCGAATGTGAAATCCCGTCCATTTGTCCGACTATACAATATCATTCACACTTGAAATGAAAACGATAAAAATTCGATTACATCGATTACAATTTCAGCATTGTCCATTTATTTTTTCTAACCTAATTAACTTCATTCAACTAGCATTAGTTAATTTCCGATTCTAGTCGACCTAACATTCCAATTAAGATGTTTAACATTTTGTCAAATTAAATCCTTCCTTTCAAATTTCTGTTCAAAACAAAAAAAAACAAAAAAAAAAAAAAAACCGAAATATTCGCGAATATTTCTTCGAGCACGAAAATGACACGACAAATCACTTTTCACCCACAATTATAACCAACTGTATTTTCGAGTTTATATCTCGTGATTTCGATAAATCGTTTTACAATTTATAATTTTTCGAGATTACACACCTCGACCGCAATTCCTTTTGCTTTCGCTTACAGTGGATGTAAGCCGCTATGCAAATGATAACGACCAGGAATACTGCTATCGTGGCACCGCCGGCGATGCTTGCCGTCTCCAACATTACACGTTGCCGGGAGGCTGTAACGAAAAAGAAAACTTATTGTCACTTTCTTAACCAAACAAGCAGCCTCCTTCGCTTATGCTCACCGCTCCACTCGCGCACACGTTTCAAGAAAATGGACGTTAAAAGGAAGAAAGGAGGGGGTAGAGAGAGAAAGAGAGATAAGAGGAGGCTCGTTTCGAATTCACATTGTAACGAGCGCGTTATACACACTCGACATTTAATGGCTGTATAGACACCGCCTATACACGCTATATAGAAACGGTCTAGAATGGAATAAAACGATACGGACGGCGAGCGTGCGAGAATACAATGAGAGAATGAAGAATTGGATACTTACGTAAATAGGAACCATCTAAATCCTTAAACTCGCATCTCTGCCCGATATAACCGTTGGCGCATCTGCAAACAAAAGTATTCTATTAGACGCAGTGTTCATATAGGTGTTATATTAGATCTATTACATGAATTTAATCGAATTATTAATAATGAGTACAATGGTAGTATCGAACATTCGCAATATTAGGATAAATATTAATCGATGAATTTATATTATAGAATGTTTTATATATATATATATATAATATATATTATATTATATATATATATTATATTATATAGTATATTTTAGACAGTGTATCGGATAGATGTTTATGATACAATGAACATGATACAACGTCAGTTGGATAATGGATATCGACGTATCGCTCAACGAATTTTATTAAAACTCGTGCGTTATTAAAGAGTGTACACTGTGCAGGTGTATCAACCGGATAGAAGAGTAGTGGAATGCATATGGCGGGCTTTATTGTTCGAACGTGGCACTTCCGTAAAACGCGGCAAGAAATCCAGGAAGCTATAAAACCTACTCTTTAGGCACGAAACGCTTTTAATATCGGGCATTAATCAGATGGGTACGCGATCGTTCCACGGCCACCCAATTAGTACGCTTAATTATTATCAAAAAAAAAAAAAAGGAAAAAAAAAGAGACAGAGAGAGAGAGAGAAAACAGAGAGAGAAAGAAAGAAAAATTGCAGAGAAAATAATGAGAGATAAAAACGAAAGATAGAGATAGGATTGGTTTTAAACGTATCATCGATTCTGTAATTAAAAAGACTCTCACGGTCGATTTCATCGAACGGTATTCCGTGAACGATGATTCGCCCTTGGAGCGGAATTAATTAACCGAAATCACGGCCGAGATTGAAGAAAGGAAAGATTTCACAGATTAATTGAAACCCATGGTCGCCGAATTAACGAGATCGACACGCTCGATTGTTCCTCAGACTCGCACTCGCTGATGCACACGATATATCGCGTATATACACCGTTGGCCAAAAGTTTCAAAATTGAATTAGATCGAATTTTAACCATGGATTAAATTTTTTTTTTTTTTCTCGAATATAACTCATCAAATATACGCCATTTCTATTTATATAAAATTTCAAACGGAAGAATATTTTTTTTGTCCGCGAAAAATTATTCGATACGCGTAAAATAAAAGATTCTTCGAAACTTTTGAACAACGGTGTAATAAGCGCACCGCGCAGGCTCTCGTTTCAGCAAGCCGCTCATTCTTTTCCTTCGCGGTACCGCGAGCACTTGAGCAACACGCTTCCGTTACTCCCACGCAACGAAACGTTAACTCTTTTTTGCCGTATTTTCAGCTCGAGATACCGGCAAATCGTTCCGGAAGGTATCTATCATCGATCGACGTCGAGGTCTCTTTAATAATATTTTATAACAACAGCGACAGTTTTCAACAATGGATACAGCAAAAATTATAGATCGACAAATAAAATATCGTAGCTGGCACCTTTTTAATTTCCAACGCGCTTTTCATCACATTTTGTAATTGTAATAATAATATCATCCAGATGACAAAAGGTAGTATTTTTTTTATAGGTTAATAAATCGATCGTGGAAACTTGATTTATGTAAGATACGATAATTTTTTTTTTAATTTACGACACAATAACACGAAGGGACTGGCGGTCACGTCCATTTGGCGCCGCGACGAATCGTAGGAGGGAAGCAAGATTTACGGGATCTCTTTTCATCCTCGACATCGGTTATAATTAAACGCGGATCGCTTGGGAAATCTGCTCGAAGGTCTTTTGATTAAATCGATAAACTGCGCGCGCACGCGCTCTGAAAGCAAGTCACGTGTGTAAATCGTTGCGCCACGATCATTGGATGTACCGATGAATATCGGCTTCGTCGCGTACAGCGTAATAACGCGTCAAATTTTCCTATCGAATTGTCGAAACGACGAATTTATTTGAATAATTCGATGACTTCAGTGCGAAAAGCGTGAAAGTTCGAAAAAAAAAGAAGAAGAAGAAGAAAAATGTGACGTGTAAATTCACGGTCGAAAGTTGGGTCAGTGATCTTGTTAGGAAATGTCATCCTCGTTGCTCGTGACGGGCTCGCACACAACGCAAGAAAGTGGAAACGTTTTATTATCCACCACTTTCCACCGCAGGAATTTTCTCCGTCCGTTTCACGGAATCCTCCTGCTCGTTCCGCGGAAATTATAGGAGCGCGAACGAGGAAAAAGTAGCACGTAAGAGGAGGGAATCGGCCTTCAACGAGATTGTTCATTCTCTCGTCTCGTTTTCGGTCGGTTGCACGATGACTGATGAATTAATTGGCGATATCCGAGGTGTAAAGAATGGTGGATTTGACGGGTGGGATGAATTGATGTATCGTTTCACGGTTTCACGGTATGAAAAATGTGCGTGTAATAATATTTATAACTCGTTTTGAAACTGGAATTATTCTTGTTTTCTGACGCCAGATCGTGTAATTTTTTAATTCGCGATTTGTATCAATTTGGTAATTCAATTGCGATGGAGATAATAAAAAAAAAAAGGTACTGACATATTGACAAATTAACATTTGATAAATGATTTATAAAATGATTACGATTTATGAATCGCAAAAGTGGTACGGATTATTTTCGTTTCGTAATATCGAATGAAATTTTCATAATTATTAAATATAATTTCTTATCGACGATCGATCTTGGAATACGTTATCGATGTAATTTTCTGAAATCTATTAAACTCTATTTCGCTTCGTTTAAATTAGAAATCGCGGATCAATCAAAGGATAGCCAATTCAAATCTACCGCGGTTTCTATGGAAACTTACCTTAACCTAACCTAACCTCCTTACCCTAGAGAGCATAGAGATCGTGTCGAGAGAACGTGTCGGTTCGTGATCACCGTTGCAATAAAAGAAAATAAAGGAAGATAGATTCGTACAGTCGTCTCCAGAGATGGTTTTCCATGGGATTCTCGTAGGAATTTCCTAGGTACGTGTCATCGGCACGTAACCTAGGATTAGCGTGACGAAAGGATAGACGATCCTCTTTCCCGACCTTTTCTCGCCTCGAATTCATTTCGATTGTTCCAGTTCCAATGTCAACGCGATTCTCAACCGTGGAAAGTGTGCGTGAGTCGAGAAAAAAGTCGGCTCCCGTGTAATGTTCACGGGAACACCTTTCATTCACGGTGTACACGTGGTCGGGCATTCGTCAGGAATATTTCGAGATTCTGGGAAAATTCGTTCTGGAATTCGTTTCGAAGAATAAGAAAATTTGACAGAAAATTGGCTCGAAATTGGCTTGGTGTGTAAAAGGCACAGGTGTAAAAGTAAAAGTGTATGCGTAAATTTATGTGTATATACATGTATATTGTGTTTCTCTAGTAAATAAATTCGATTTAAATAAATTTTGTGTTACGTGTAACGGGAAAAATATAAAAGAATATAAAATTGTAATTAGACTCCAATGACCTTGAAAAAAACTCTTAAACCTAACAATCGCGATTAGTCTAGCGTAAACTAATTTTCTTTTATTATTTCTAAAAGATCGTTAAGATGATCTTGAACAAACTTTTTCAATTATTTTTTTTATTATTATATTTAAACGTCGTAATAAAGTAATTAAAGAAAATCTCATTAACTTTCTACGTTCGAGCCCATTTCCTGACATCTATAAAAAAAATGTAAAATAAATCCTTCTTTTAATATATACATTTTACGATGAAAAGTAAGAAAAATAATTTTAGTAACGATAATAAATGAAAATAGAACACGCAAGATAACGGATAAGAATTAAAATCCACGATTTTAAATTAAACGAAATAATTCTGAATTATCTTTGAATCGAAAGATGAAAACTGAAAGATCGAATAGCGAACGATCGCGGGAACGATATAGTCGAGTATTTTCGTCGATCACACGCGATTGCTATTTACCGAGGGTGTGTCTCGTTACGTAATATTCCAAAGTGTCTTCCAAAGCTGAAATTCCACGCGTGATACGGCCGTGTCGCAATCCTTTCCACCGTGAGATAGTTTCGCTTCCTCTTGGAAACTTATATATCGTTTCACGTCCTCTCTTCTAAACGATCACGAAACTCGTGTACGAAACCTTGTTTTTATGCAGGGGGCGAGCCGTGTTTGCGGATCGATCGATAAGCCGACGAAATCTTGATCGAGCGTTGGTAAAGTGAATTTCCATGTTATCCGTGAAAAGGCAAAACGTTCGTGGAAAATAGGTTGGGGCAGGATAATCGAAGGGAAGTGGAAATAAATGGACAGTGGCGTTACACGGTCGTAAATCATTCTCTACGGTCGTGCAATTGGTTCGAACGTGAGTAATCTTGGAACAGGTAGGTAGAGAAGGTACTCGAGAAGGAGTAAGGTTGATTACAGGGGTTGACGATCGATGATTATCGGTGAAAATATGTTAAGAGGTGCTCCCGAGAAAATGTAACGAGGTTACGGAAGTTAGAATTTGTCGTTTCTTTGAATTCCTTGAATTTTTTTCTTCTTCTAACCGCGATAGACTTAATCCTCTATTGATATAACGTGTGACTTTTAAAGTCATTATTTTTTTTTTTTTTTTTTTTCTTAAACTAAGTAAGCAAATAGAAAATAAAAATAATTACGATACGCATAACGATATTTACCGCATGAAATTTATACCGTGTAAACCTCGATACATTCTCATGAGCGCGCGTGATCTTCGAGCATGGCTATATTTCGAAGTGAAAATCGTGTGTGATTCTTTCTCGAAAAGGTCTCGAGGAATGTTGTAGAATGTTACGAAAGGTTAATAGCAGATTTGATAGTGAAAGGTATTTTGCTATGCGGCGAGGGGGAGGAGCATACATCAACACACGTATCCATCATCGTTACTAATTACAAGAAAAATCCTGCGTTTATCATTTTTCCTTCCATTTACATTTTCGTTGTTTACCGCTTTATGTAACATTTTATACCGTTTCAAACGAGTATTTTGGAATACAATAGAGATCATGGATAAATTATATCTCAAACTCGATTCTCCAAAGGTAACAGTAAATACACCGGTGGAACGTGATATAAACTAACACGGTATCGCGAAACACCTGATACCTTGCACACCTATCGTCTTCCAAGAGTGCCAAGAGTCTCTCTTCCTGGGCGCAAAGGGTAAGGGAAAACGAGGAAAGAAAAATTGTCTCGCTGTACTTACAAACAATTGTAAAGGAGGGAATCGACGATTTTGACAGTGAAACACGTGGCACCGTTCAAGCAGTAGTACTCAGCGTAATCCGGTGGACACGTGTACATGTGGAATGTGATGTTCGGTCGAGGCGTCGGCGTCGGTGGCCGCGGTTTCGGCGTCGACCGCGATGAACAGGCGTCTGTCAACAGAAATCATATTAAAAATTACTTCACTCTTTATATTATCGCTCTTAACTCTTCGATTTACTACTTTTATCATTCTTATAGATTTTCCAAAAAATTTGAAAAAAATTTTTGTCGCGAGTTATTTATATCTACTATTTTTTTTTTTTCTCTCTTTTCGAAAAATCTCAGAACACTCATTGAAATCTCCTCTTATATATATATATGTATCAAACGTATAAAAAGCTGCGAAAGAATTCAAAAATAAAATTTCAGTCCAAGTTACTACTTCCTCCACCGAATATTTGGCCCATGACTATACTTTTCCTACTATTCAAAAAAATGTAAAAAGAAAATTGGAATATATATATATATATATACACACACATACATAAAAGAAAGAATTCGAAAATAAAATTCCAGATTGCCTACACTTCCACTCCGTCAAATATTTGGACGTTGGTCCCCAAAGTGAAATTCACCGGTGGAAGAAAAATCGTGGAATTCTGAAAGGATCCATTGTCCCGCTATCACTATGGCGGATCGATAAAAGCTCGGGCTCGATTAAGTTGTGTAACGACCAAAGGCCAAGCATCGTTTATCCCATTACCAAGGTACAAGGGAGAGGTGAATTGTCGAATGGACGCTTTAGAAATTCCAAAGGCTTCCAGGTTTGGCAAACACAAAGGGCGGCCTCGTATTTTAGGGCTTGCCTAAGTGCTCGTGCCTGTACATCCCCTCTCTCTCTCTCTCTCTCTCTCTCTCTCTCTCTCTCTCTCTCTCTCTCTCTNNNNCTCTCTCTCTCTCTCTCTCTCTCTCTCTCTGTCGTTCTCCTTTCTTCGAACCCTTAAAAACCGCTCTTATCCTATCGTCTTCGTCTTTTGTGACGTTTTTGACTCCAATGCTATTAATTCGTGATCAAAGAGGCAAATGGTTCTTTTTCTTTTTCCTCTTTTCTTTTTTCAACCCTCGTGACACGTTTGGCCGTTTTTTCAACCCTCGCTTGACTTAAGGGTTAACGCGATAACATTAATTGGATAAAGGAGAATTAGATCTTGGCCGTTCGAGAGTTGATGAGAAATAATAAGTTAAATAATAAGGAAAATTAGATAAGTTGTAGGATATGGGTCACTCTTCTTCACCCGCCCTATATATTAAAAAGATATCCCTCGATCTTAGAGTAATTATCAATTGGATGCCATTCTTTGGAACGTTGATTGAAAAGCTCGGATAGAAAAGTTAATTAATATGGATGTCCATTATATATATATATATATATAAATTAAATTAATTAAACGAATCGTTTTTCATAGAAATTGGAAAAGTATCGATCTTTTGTTCAATTTTTCCGTTCAATTTAGAGCGTAAAAAAAAAAAAAAAAAAAAAAAAAAAACCCACTTTTCTCCACTGGTTTTTCTAATTTTCTTTGCCCATTTAATCTTTTTCGGACCATATTGGTAAAAAAAAAAAAAAAAAAAAAAAGGAACGCGAGGAACTCGAGTCTCGAGGCAAATACCATCGAACAAATTCGGAAAATATCCAAACGTGAAACGTGCGTTCACCTGGTAGAGGAGAGGCCACGAGCTGCCTCTCGTGCAACACGCCCGCGCCGCACGTTGCATCCGCCCCGCTATCTGTCACCTGTTATAATTTTTGCAACGAGCCAGCCAGCCAGCCAGCCAGCCAGCCCCCCCGACCACGCCAGATGATTCCTCCCCGCTCTGTTTTTAAATACCTGTGCGCCGAAACGAGTTATTTAACGAGCAGTGAGGAGGGGGGAAAGAAAAATAAAAACAAGATTTTCCAAAAATTCGGATTCGAGCAAAGAATATCGATACAATTTCGAATTCGAATTGAAGAAAAAAATGGCCGCCTGCAAAGGACCTTTTCTTTTCCTTCCTTACAAATAAAAATTATCCGTTCCTTTCTCTACTCCGAGCGGCCACAAAATTCGAGGGAATAATCGACGCGTATATTTCGTATATTATACACCCGGTAATCGTCCCAGGACACGTGTCATACCCCCTCTCTCCACCTTTGCGAAAACTCGAGGTCTTTCCAACTCCGCACTTACGTATCTTACTTCGAAAAGACCAATCATAAAGGAACGAAAGAACTGTAGTTTTACAAAAAAGCCAGGAAAGAAAGAAAGAAAGAAAGAAAGAAAGAAAGAATTAATATCCACTAACCTGCTATACCGAAGAGAGTGTAAGACAGGATGAGTAGCGTGGCGAGGTAGGGCGGGATCCTGCATCCCCTCGTCATGGCAGTGACGGTGGCAGGGTTTTTGTCGTCGGTAGCATCCGCGTTACGGTCGCCCCTGGCAGGACCCAGGACGCGGTCCACGCACTCGTCCCGTTCGCAGGGAGGTGGTCTGTCGTCCCGCGGCCGGTGGTGGAGATGGGGGTGATGGTGGTGGTAATGGTGGTGATGGTGGTGGTGGTGGTGGTGGTGGTGGTGGCGGCAACGATGATGGTGGCGAAGATGGTGTTGGCGACGGCGGCGGCGGTGGTTGTTGTTGTTGTTGTTGTGGTGGCGGTGGTGGTGGTGGTGGTGGTGTTGTTGGTAGCAGTGGTGGTGCAAACGGTGATGATGGCGTCGAAGGCGGTGGATCTCTCGGTGTGGTATGTCCTGGCGAGGAGGGGGGGCGGCAGCCTGGTCCTTGCACGCAGCCTCATCGTCGGCTTCCTCGTCGACGACGAGCTCGTTCCCGCTACCCGCGTCCCCGTCGTCCCTTCGCTCCTGCCATCGATCCGATCCCTTTTCTCGCTGTTGCTGCTGCTGCTGCTGCTGGCGATGGCTGTGCATGCGACGCGCGTGGTGTACGCGGTGGAGGTGATGACGACGGTGATGGTGGCTGTAGTTGACGGTACTGCTGTCGCCGCAGCAGACCTCGCCATCCGCCACCGGTGAGCAACTAACCTCCTCGAGCACGCTCGTCCCTCCTCCTACCTCCGCCTCGCATCCTCCCTTCTTCCCCCTTCCACCCTCGTCCACCCCTCCTTCCACGTAGCCTCCCACCCCCGCCGCCGCTTGCTCCTCTGTTTCCTCAACGGCACGAGCTCCACCACCTGGCCCACAGCTCCGGCGCACGTGCCGCCGCCTCCCTGTAACCAAATATCCGACCGGTCGCCCGTTTACACACTGTGTTTTATCTCGGCCCGGCTCCGCTTCATCTAGGCCGGCTGATCCACGCGCCCTTCGCCCCCGCCCCTCTCCCCGGGGTGGTTGTGAACACGCGGCGCGCCAACCGGCCACGAGCGGATAATGCGCGCTTAAGAGGGGCAGAGGAGGGGGGGGGGAAGGAGGAGGAGGAGGAGAAGGAGAAGGAGTGTGCACGTTTCTCGAGAGTGAAATTTCGGCGATTCGGCCGAGCGGAAAGGGAGCGCAGGAATTTTCTTCGATCGAGTTGTCGGTCGAAGATTTGTGGTTTTTTTAGGGTAAATTTGGAAAGGTAAAGTTTTATATATATATGTGAATGTATTTCGCATTGAATTTTCTTTTGCATTGCATTGTTCTTTTGTCAAGTATTTATCGTAGGATATGTATATTAAAAAGAGAGGAAAATTTGGTATTACGTTATATAATTTTGCAGTGTAGAGTTAATTTTTTTTTATACTGCGTTCTTTTGTGAAATATCTATCGTAGAATATATATTCGACAAAAAGAAGGTAATACATTTTGCTGGTTTCCTTTTGTATTGCGTTCTTTTGTGTCTATCTATCGCAGAAATCTATCGTAGAATATATATCTATCGTAGAATATATATATATATTAAAAAGGGGTAAATTTGGTATTACGTTATATCGGTAATACATTTTGCAATGTAGAGTTAATTTTCTTTTATACTGCGTTCTTTTGAGAAAATTTGATATCATCTTGCTGTGCTAATTTTCTTTTATATTACGTTATATTGGTAATATATTTTGTAGGGTTAATTTTTTTTATGAGATATCTATCGTAGGATATATATTTGACAAAAAGAAGATAATACATTTTGCAATGCTAATTTTCTTTTATATTACGTTATATCAGTAATATATTTTGTAGTATTAATTTTCTTTTATATTACATTCTTTTGTAATACATTCTTTTCTATTGTAGAATATATATATATTCTACGATAGAAAAGAATTTACGATAGAAAATATATATATATATATTAAAAAGGAGAAAATTTGGTATTACGTTATATCGATAATACATTTTGCAATGTAGAGTTAATTTTCTACTGCGTTCTTTTGTGAAGTATCTATAGGATATATACTCGAGAGGAGAAAATCTAGTATCACGTTGCAGTGCTAATTTTCTTTTACATTACGTTATTATATTATATTATATTATATATAATTATATATATTATATATATTATTATATATAATATATATATAATTATATATATATATATAATAT